GCCTCTGAGGTCAGGTACATTCAGGGTGGTATGGCTGTAGATGAGGGCTACCTTAACTGTCATCACAGAACCTTCATCCAGTAACTAAAGGAAGCAGATGCAGACAGTTACACACTGGGCCAAACTCCCAGAGACCAGTCATAGATAGGGAGGAGTAATAGTATGAGCAAAGGGGTCAGGACCATGACTGGGAAACCCACAGAAACAGCTGACCCAAGTTAGTGGGAGCTCACTGACTCTGGACTGACAGCTGTGGAACCTGCGTAAGACTGAACTAGGCCCTTTGGATGTGGGTGACAGTTGTGTGGATTGGGCAGTTTGTGGTGCCACTGGCAGGGAAACAAGTATGCATCCCTAGTGCACGAACTGGCTTTTTGGAGCCCATTCCGTATGGAGGGATACCTTATTCAGCCTAGATATAAGGGGGAGGGCCTTGGTCCTGCCTCTAGTGATGTGCTGGACTTTGTTGATTTCCCCATGGGAGGACTCACCTTCTCTGAGGAGTGGATGGGTTTGGGATGGGGAGAAGGAGGGGGGAGCAGGGAAAGTGGAGGGCGACAGAACTAGGATTGGTGTGTAAAGATTGTTCTAAAAATAATAAAAAGAAAAAAAAGCACATTTCTTACTTCTTCAGTGTGATAAGGGAAGAGAACGCTTCTCTTTTTGACCCACTTAACTGTTTTTTCTCTGTGTTTTACTTGACAATCCCAGTCTGCCTCCCGCCCTCCCCTACCACGCCCCCAACTAAAATCCTACCTATCACATATCCTTTCTGCTCCCCCTGGATGGTGAGGCCTTCCGTAGGATGTCATCAGAGTCTATCATATCCTTTGGGATAGGGCCTAGGCCCACCTCCGCGTGTCTTGTCTGTGTGGAATGGGCTCCCAAAGTCCACACCTATGCTAGGGATAAGTACTGAACTACTACAGCAGGTCCCGTAGATTTCTGAGGTCTCCTCACTGAAAACCACATTCCTGTGGTCTGGATCAGTCCCATGCTGATATCCCAGGTATCAGTCTGGGGAGCAAGAGTTCCCCGATGTTCAGGTCAGCTGTTTCTATGGGTTTCACCAGCCTGGTCTGGACCCCTTTGCTCTTCACTCATCCTTCTGTGAAACTGGATTCCAGTTCAGTTCAGTTAAGCATTTAGCTGTGGGTGTCTGCTTCTACTTTCACCAGCTACTGGATGAGGGCTATCGGGTGGCATACAAGTCAGTCATCAATCTCATTATCAGGGGAGGGCATTTAAGGTAGCCGCTCCTCCGTTGCTTAGATTGTTAGCTGGTGTCATCCTTGTAGATCTCCAGACATTTCCCTAGTGCCCGATGACCCACTCAACTGTAAGTATTAGCTAAAATTTGTGGTAGGCACACCACTTAGAATACCAATGGGCTCTCCATGGCGATTCAGATCATTATGGATTTTGTCACAGTTTTCTATCATTTGCAATTCTTTTACATCCATTACCAACCTAATGGCGATCTTAAAACAGCAATCTATCCATATGTTTCTTTGGTTAACAATTAGCAATCACTTCAATTTAATATATTGTGTTGCTGGGTGGAATAATTGGAGCTGATAGTTGTAATCTTTCAGGACTTGGATTATATTTCTTCAGGCACTTCTGATTTAAATATTCCTGTCACATAATCCAGTTTCTAATGGCCTTTCTTTGTAAGTGACTTGACATTTCTTATGGCTATTCTTGGTGGTCAACTTGACTACATTTGTAATTAACCAAAGCCCAAGTGGCTGGGTAGACCTGTGAAGGATTTTTTTTCTTCAATTAAATCCTTTGACATGGGAAGGCACACTTTTAATCTGGATCTTTCCTGGTGCAGAGATACAGCTTTAATCTAGATATTTTGGGATGGTAAGATTCACCTTTGATCTGGGCCATACCTTTATCTGGCAGCCTGTATAAAGAACATGGAAGAAGGAAGCTATCTCTGTTTGCCTGCTTGCCTTTACTGGCTTTGGAGCCTACTTCCTTGGGATTACAGAGTATACTGAAGACCGGCTAAGACCTCTACCCTCATGGACTGAGCAACTTCTAAGTAATACAACCGTTCTCCTTTGCAGCTTGCAATACTCTTCCTTTATTTTGTGTTTTTGATGTTTTATCTATAATATTAGTCAAGGATAATTTCTTTTCTGGTTTTGTATATTGGTGTTCTGTAGGCCTCTTATGACCATTTAAAAAGTCATAGGAAATCCACTACTGTAGAAGTTTCCACACAGACAGAAAAATAATTTATAATGGAGTTACCCTATAATAGTGAAACATTGTCCCTACTAGACACCACACAATAACAAATAAAAATAAATAACAATAACACAATAACAAATAAAAAGTCTGATGCTCAGAATGGGTTACCTCTTTGGAGTTGTTGGCCAGTGAGATTCCATAGACCTTCAAGCTGCTATTTTCTAGTGCTCTTGTTTATGCTCCAGAACTTAATAATAAGACCCTACTGCTGGAGATACCGTGCACTTGAGTTACAGAACGTTGAGAAATCTGCTATCAACCCTGAAGCTTCATCTCTACTGCCTAACTCTCATAGTTATGTAAAGCGAGATGCTTACTGCTGAAAGAGAAAAATATTCACCAATCTTGCCCAGTTGTGAACCCTGCAAACTACAATCATGACTGTCCAGGAAAGATGAAACAGTGGTACAGCATCCATGGGGGTAGTCAAGCTCTTTCTGATGGGATTTATGTCCTGCTCCACAATGCAAAACTGATACTCAGCACTATTACTGGGGCCAGGAACCAGATCATGGCCCTAAGGGGAAATTCCTACTATTACTCTTTTAAATGGACATAATATTAAACTGATTTTTAATGATGTACTGTTATACACACAGAGTAATGCATCTCTAAGTCCTCATCATAGAAGATATTTATGCAGTAGATGATGGTTAGCTCTGAGATCCACAACTGGCCTAGGTTCAGAAAATAAGACAGTGAGGAATATCTCAGCTGTAAATGGCACATTTGTATTGCATTCCCTTCCTATCAAGGCTCAGAGATATGTATGGAAGAGGAGAGTTGAAAGAGCGTAAGAGCCAGAGGTTGTGGCTGTCTCTAAGGACACAGTGTCTTCTGGACATAGCATGGCAGCTCCACACGTGAACTCACAGCAGTTGTGAGCACACGTACAAGAACTGTGCAAGATCAAAGGTGATCAGATCCTGGCATACAGATGAGAGGATGGCACAAATTTTCATCCACATCTACGGAGATATTGGTGAATGAAAGCTGTTGAGACAGGGAGAAAAAGTGTAGCCTCTGGTACATCAACCATGCTTCATTGGAAGGTCACACACCCAAGACTAAATTGGACTTGATGGATTTAAAACAAAACAAAACAAAAGAGGACCCAAAGTTGGTCACATAGGGAAGGAGCCAGATCCAGAAAGAGTTGGGGGAAGGGTGGATGAAATCAAAACATACTGTATGAAATTCTCAAAGAACTCATACAAATGTTAAGATTTCCTATTTCCTTAACTGAAACTTCAGAAAATATACATTTTTGCAAGTACGACATGGGGCCCCAGAACCCTGTATGAGTTTCACTTCTCAAGACAGCTGATGCTGTTCTTTACTGAGTAACCATACGGAAGTTATCCCAGACAGGTCTTCATGCCCTCCCGTCTCTGTCTCTAATGGTCTGGCATTCCAAGGACTCACTTCATTGAAATTTTTAGTAAGTGTTAACTTCTCTTTTTTTCTGTCTCCTTGTGTTATAGAAAGCCACAGGAGGGTTTCCCACATCTACAGTGCCTATCTTCACCCTTGTGAGATCTGTGAGTCCAAGGAAGGAACTTGTAGGCATTAGCAAGGAGTCTTATGTCTGGTACCGACGCTCACACAGTGAGGGCTAAGGGGAAAATGGTTGGTTTTCTGGATAGTGGAAGAACAACCCTTACATTTACAAGGTGTCTCGGAGAGAGAACACAACCTGGCATGTAAAAATCCTGTAATCTCAAAATCAGCTCCACATGAGCGCCAGATACAGGTGCTTGGTGTTTCTCTGCTGCTTTTGACCCACCTTGAAACGTCAGTTTGCGTGTTCCTCCATGTATCTTCAGAGTTAGAGATAGGAACGAGGGTGGCGAAGACCTCATGGTGTTGTAGATGTGGACAGGACGGAGAGAAAACCCCATGTGGAGGCTCTTAGTCCTCAGTCACATGGGGTGATCCTCAGGCACAATCACCTCTCAGAAGATGAGATTGATTTGATGCCACTTACTGGACTTGGAGAGGAAGAGAATTGGAGTAACAGGGTAAGGCCCTGTTGTTACTCTTTCTTATGCTATTGGTACACATCATGTCCAGCTTAGCCACAGTCTTGGTAAACTAGCATACTCACTCTTGAGGAGGAAACTTCCCGTTATTTTCGTTTCTAATGCTGACTACGCAATCTAGGGCTTTGCTCTTGCTACGTTAGCGTTCCATCAGTGAGCCAGTTGCATAGGACTTCCCCTTCTGGATGTCTAGGCTCATAACCAAGATGACAGTGTCTTTAGTGGTCACTCTTCGTGTTTGTTGATCTCTCCTGATAGTCACCGTAGACTGCACAGCTGGGACCCCCTCGAAGGATGCATCATGATCTCCATTTTCATAGTGCTGTTTCATCTTGGTGAGATTTGAAGGGCAGAGGGAACACCCAAGTCTGATAGGGATCTCAGGCTATAGCTAAGTTCTGGCTTATCAGGAGAAGCCATGGCCTTGGGAACCTTTGTAGAGGAGATGATCTCCTCTTTCAGGGCTGAGTGTGGATACCAGGACCACAGCGGTGACAGGTGAGTCATTGCCCGCACCGTACCAGATGCTGTTTCCACACTGACGTCTAAAGAGCACTCCTGTGCACTGGATATGGACAACAGCAGGCGGGGGTTGATTCTGGGGACACTTCAAGAATCCTGGGGCTCAGATGTAGAATATAAGAAAGGAATTTCCTGGGACACTGCATTTGATTTTTTTTTTTTTTACAGGAAATTTCCCCATACCTACCATCTGGGCTGAGCCAGACTCTGTGGTCACCAAGGGACAAGCTGTTACTATCTGGTGTCTTGGGATGCCAGAAGCTCAGGAGTACTATCTGTATAAAGATGAAGGTTCAAAACCCTTGAAGACACAGATCTTACTCAAGCCTGGGGATAAGGCCAACTTCTCCATCCCATTCATGACGGAGTACGATGCAGGGCTATACCACTGCTACTACTATAGCCCTGCTGGCTGGTCAAACCACAGTGACTTCCTAGAGCTTGTGGTGACAGGTAAGAGGACTCTCAAGGTTCCCAAACTCAGGTTATTTCCTGAGTAAGGGATTTTTCTCCCAGGGTATCTCCTCATAATCCAGTCTTTAGACAATGTGGAAGGTGTTTTCCACTCAACGTGCTTGTCTCCTCTTTTTAGGATTCTACAGCAAACCCAATATCTCAGCCCTGCCAAGCTCCCTGGTGGCCTCAGGAGGGAATGTCACCCTCCAGTGTAGCTCACATCAGGGATACCGAAGGTTCATTCTTATCAAGGAAGGAGAAAAGACTGTGTCCTGGACTCAGAACTCACAGAAGCAACACAATGGACATTTTCTGGCCCTGTTCCCTGTGGGACCAGTGTCTTCCAAACACAGATGGGCCTTCAGGTGCTATGGCTACTACAAGAGAACGTCCCAGATGTGGTCCATACCCAGTGAGACCCTGCAGCTGCTTCTTTCAGGTGAGGCAATCCCATCTTTGAAATTTATCTGAAGCCCATAAATTCTTTGCATGAGCCCATTTCCAGAGGAGTTCCATAAAGCTGAGATACAGTTAATGGATGCTCAGGGGTCTCGTTGTAGAGACCCAGCAAGACCTGCAAGAAAAGATAGACAGGAGAGGGAGGTGTTTGGCATAAACTATACCCTTAATACCTGACCCATTTTCTCTTTGAGAGGCCTCTCTAGGAAGCCCTTCATTTTGACCCAGCAGGTCCATGGCTGGGCACTAAGAGAGACTCTGACCCTCTAATGTCATGGTGACCCTTCTAGGGTAGATTTGTTTTAGTCAATGAAGGGAACCAGTGCATCCCATCCTGCACTAGCCAGCAGCCCAGGCTTAGCTTTCTCAGGCTGATGTCACATTGGTCCCTACAAGCAGCCAAGCAGCTTCCACATCAGTCAGTATACAAACTATGTGTATACTGTGTCTCCCATGACCTCTGTGTATCTTAAACACAGCTGAGGAGCCTTGACCTTACAAGAGACTCGCATTCTTCAAAGACCATGCTGGGGAGCCCATATGGTCATGATGAAGGATGAAGGGTGAGGTCTCAGGAAAGATGGGAGACAGAAAGACAGGAGTTTTAGAAGTGTAAATGAGTGAGAAAAATAGGCAGGTGAGGCATGCCTATAAAACAGAGTCTCAGGAGCCATAAACCTTGGTTTTAGATACAGAGCTTGACAAGTAGGCAAGGCTGGTTAGCCAGTGAGCACCAGGAATCAGCCTAGACCAGGAATCAGCCTGTATCTTCGTCCCCAGTGCTGGAGTTAATTTGAACAACCACCACACACAGTTTTGGGTCTTTTGTTTTCACATATATTCTTTGTTTTGCAGGGCTGTTTTAAAATAGTATCTGAATATATTTATTTATTTTAAATTTTCATACGTGTATAGAGTGAAATGTGATATTTACTCCCATAGTTTGTCCTTCCAACTTTCCTCATACAACCCACTCCCAACTCTATGTCTTTTTCATAATCCCCTAGTCTAATTAGTGCTGCCCATAAGTGCATAGTTACAGGTCTACTAGAGCATAAGAAAGTCTACTACTGGCCACATGTTCAAAAGAGAATGATTCTCCATCCTTTGTCATTTTCCAACTTTCAAAAACTCCCCAGTAGTAAGGCAAGGGATCTAAGTATGATTCACCTGTCTGTGCCAAAATTTTGTCTGGCTTGCTCTTTGTGGTCTTGTTTATTCTTGAAACTTTGATGCATTTATAAAATGTATTTTGATCATATTATTCTTCTATTACTTCCCTCCAACTCTCCCTAGTTTCTCCATCTCACCTCCTTTCTAATTTCATACCCTCTTTTAAAATTATAATTAACACCGCATATATATGGATTCATACATCCATACATATTGTGTGTGTGTGGGGAGAAACTATCCACTAGGGCTTGGTCAACCTACCAGTGGTCACATATGCAAAGGAAATTGACTCTCTCACACCCAGCGGCCATCAATGTCAACACATCCTCAACTAGGGGTGAAGTTTCCTCATACATGCTAGATCCTTGACTGGATTTATGTTGTACAGGCTAAACTACAGTTTTTGTGGGTTGATATCCTTAGTTTTGGTTTACTACCCCTTACCCTCTTTTTTACAACCTCTATCTCTACTAAACCTTTAACCCCAAGTAGTCTATTTGTCATGATTGTGCAGTAATAACTTTAGCGACTGAACAATGTTTTCAGCCTATGCTGTATATCATTAATAAATATAATACATATTAATAATTCATAAAATATTTTTAAATTGTTGATAAAAGTTGTATACACTCATGGAAATATAAAATAATTCAACTAATATTTGGAACATAAAGATTTTCATGGCCTTATGTTTACTAAATAATAAATATACATTAAAAGCTACTGACCCTGGTATATTATTGTCTCTTATTGATATAGGTATCTATTCTACTTGTTTTTCAATTTGGGACTGTGCTGATTTTGTTGTCCCATTTGTCCAAATTTGCAGATTCACCCTCACAAGATCACACAGTTGAGAATCTCATCAGGATGGCTGTGGCTGGCTTGGTTCTGGTGGTTCTTAGGATTCTTCTGTTTGAGGCTCGAAACAGCCAGGGACACCCTCAAGGTGAAGTGTGGAGGTGAAGCAGGGAGAACAGTTCATCTCTTACCGTGACAGAGACTTGGAGATGAATCCAACAAGTATCGGCAATCATGGAAGAAAATTTGTGGCACAAGTGTGTGAGCACTGTTGAGTGCCCTGAAGAGAAATGGGTGCAGGAGAAATTTCAGAGAAATCTGTGAAGAGAACACTACACCCATTCAATTAGGACAGTATGTTGCCTTGAACGAGGTGGCCTCCACACTCTCAGGCATTTGAATGCTCAATCCCCATTTATGGATGCTGTTTAGAGACACTTAGGAGATGTGGTCTTGTCAGAGTCATTGTGTGACTGGGGTGGGCCTTGAAGCTTTAAGAACTCTCATCATTTCTAGGTCACTCTTGTATATCCATTTCCTCCAAGGCTGAACTATTATATCCTGCAGGGAATCTTCTTAAGCCAGAAGGCAAACAACTCAGAATAGCTCCAGGATGGCCCTGAAATTGACCAATTTCAATAGGTCCCTTCTTCCTAAGAGTTAATTAACAAGAAGATCTGTTCAGAGCGACTCTTAGACAAGGTAAGCTGCAAAGAAGAATCTGAGACCAGACCGGCTGCCTGGAAGAATAAAAAACGACTGAGCTGCCTAGAAAAGATTTAGACCAGATTCACTTGGAAAGGACACTCTCCAACCTGTTCATCTGGCCTGAAGGCTGTGAAATGTGCCCTTTGCGAGGTAACACCCATGTTGGGGTGAAATTTGAGATGCGGATATCTTTGAGTCATTTCTGAATCTGAAAGTAACCTTAATAAAACCCAGTGGTTCACCAAATCGGACTTTAGTGGTATTCATACTTTGGTCTGCCATGGGTTCCCTATCTAGAGTGAGAGTATACATGTATGCTGTCTCTCCCAGGACAAGTATTGCCACAAAGCAACTCCTTCCTCTTGTTCCTGTGATTCAAGATGTGAGCTGTTAGCTGTCTTCTCCTGCCACCATGCCTTCACTCTATGCTACAAGCTGCAAGGTCACACAGTAATCATACAGTCATCAGCTCATGAGAAACTCAGAAGAACTAAGGATTCTCCTAATGGATGAAACCAATGAAAAAGCTGCATTTGTTGTTAGAGTCTTGTGAATGATTTGACTGTTTCTTGCTGTAGATTCTTCCAGTAGCTTATTCCTTTCTGTAAGAAACTTGGGATTTACTTCTCACAGTTTAGCACCATCTATCTGATTGTTTACTGGAAACAAATTCCCCCATACATTTGGAGTTTTACTGATTACACTCCCTAGCTATGTGTAAAACCTGTTCTCCATTAACAGGTCCTAGTTCAGTGATTACAATCCTTAGCTATGTGAGACCTGTTTCCCACTATTAGGTCCTTGTTCCTCTCTCCATTGCAATTGCAGAGAACCTGCCTTCCTGCAGTTACCTTTACTGACAGGCATTTGGTCAGTGTTTATGGTCCAGGCAAAGCATCCCATTTAAGATATTCCCAGATATCCAAGGACATAGAATTATTACACGACCAAAGTTGCTGATTCATAACTGCCTAGATGGATAGAAAAAAATAAGCATGCCCTAACTTTACCTCAATGGCTGATAGAGAAGTGATAACCTAAATTAACCCTGGACTAAAAGATTCTCGAGCTTCTTGTTCCATTAACTCAAGATCTTAGCTCAGAGTTTTACTGCTCCTGCCTGTTTCCCTGGGAATCTTGGGGTGTGGGGGTCATCCCACCCTTGACACCATTCTGTTACGATAAATCTTTCTGCCATTAGCCGCCTGAGCCCCACCGCCATGTGTGAGCTTTACGCCAGCTGCCCGCCCGAGTTAGGCCCAAATGAATACACAGAGACTTGTATTAGGTTCAAAGCTGCTTGGCCAATGACTAGGATTTCTCATCTGCTAGCTCAGTCTCAATTATCATAAATCTATATATTTTATAAGACTTATCTTATCGGACGCCTTATTGGCTTCCCTCCTTGCCGGTGGATCACATTGTGCAGCTGGAGCAGGAGCCGAGGGGAAAAGAGACATACTTCCTATTTCCTCGCTTAGATATGAGTCTCCTTGCTATGTCACTTCCTGCCTGGATCATCACTTCTCTACTACATTTCCCAGAATCCTCTTTGACTCCTAGTCCTTGCTTGCCATTGGCTGGGCAGCATTTTATTCAACAATCAATAAGATAAACATACAAAGAAGTACTTTCCCCATCAGATAATGACAAAAGTAATGAGCCCATTTGCTCATCCTCAGGGAAAAGTAAACTTTCCTGAAGGTCTGTGCCACCACTGAGGCCAGAGCACTGGAAAGTGCCAGGTTTTGTTTCTTGTGCAAATTAAACTTATAGCAGCCCCCTACTCCAGCAGGCACCCCATGCTAGCCCGTAAGCTGTGGCTGTGAGAAAACCAGGTAGGCTGCCTGCTGATGTTATCTGCTCCCTCTTTTTCCCAGATTCAACCCCAGTCTCATTCCCAGCTCTGCTACAGAACACCTGTGCCAGGCTTCACTGCCTCCTGTTTCCAGTAGATGACACAGAACTCCCCATCTAACTACCCTTCCCCACTCACTGCTTTGTCCCAGCCTCCAAACACAACAGGCACCCTCTGCTAATTCTAGCCCCCCCTCCCCCGCCAGGACAAAAGTACAATGAAGGCAAATACACACCTATCTTCCTGCCTCTTTAGATCAAATTTTTCCAGTCTCATCCCCACCTCTGTAGCAGAACCTTTGGGTTGAACTCTCAATGTCTCCTCCAATTTCAAGGAGACAAGCAGCTCCTAGTTGAACACTCTGCTCTGATTTGTCGTGTGACAGCTAGTCTATCCCCATTCCTAAGCATCAACTCCCAATATCAAGAAACACATTAGATTTTGAATCCCCAGTGGTCACAACTATCAGGTGCAAGGAAAATTTCCTACCAGGCAATACACAGTCAACACACTGTCTAAAAATGCAGATTGAAAACAGAAACAAACAACCATCCAAAAAGACAAAAGGAACGAACAACCATCCAAAAAGACAAATCCAGAAATCAGCACCTAGCCGTATAATCATCCCAATCCCAGATGCTTAGATACTAGCCTGAAAACACAATAGCAGTCCGGGAAATGTGTCTCGAGTAGAGATCAGTTAGCTTACAACATCGTATCCTGAAAATTCCAACATAGCTGAAGCATAAGAAAAAGGCCTTAAAAACCACCGTATGAAGCTGATGCAGGTTCTTAAAGAAGAAATTAATAAATCCCTTGAAGAAATCTAGAAAAGCTGCTGGAGAGACCACTCAGTGGTTAAGAGCATTGGCTGCTCTTCCAGTGGTCCTGAGTTCTATTCCCAGCAACCACATTGTTACGACCGACACCAGGCTGACCCCGCCCCCTGATGACGGATGGGGCACACACAGGGAAGTGCTACGCCATCACCACGTCACTCGTCAAACATTATGGACCTGTGTGAGGATGCTGTGCATGTGTGGAACCCCAGTGCTCACGCGCGGTTTTCCCTTTAAAAGTTCCACTTTCCCCGGCCTCCCTCTCTTCTCTCTCTTGTTGGGTTGGCTGCCAATCTGTCCTTTCTTCCCCCCCCTCAATAAACTCCACGCAGGTCTGTTGATTCACAGTTTCCTGTTTCATCACCAGTCGCTGCAGCAGAAATCTAACACACATGGTGGCTCCCAACCATCTATCGTGAGATCTGACGTCTTCTTCTGACCTGAGTTAAGGTCCATGGTTTCTGCGTCCATCAAGGGCCAAGCAGATACCTGGGGTCTGGTCATCCACTGTAGGGGAAGCTGTAGCCATGCCTGCTTAGTGGTGTGCCTGCTAGGGCGTGGTCAGGGTGATGTAGAGTAAGAGGCGTTGAGGTGGCTGGTTTCACTTTCGGCTTGCTGTGTAGACTGCTGCCATGCCGGCTGGCTAGGTGGCTCTGTAAGTAAGGCTTTTTCCCTATTAAAATCCTTTGTATTTCTACCTGGCTCTGTATTGGTATTTCCCACTTTAATCCACCTTAGGCCATGTTGGCATCAGAGGGCCATGCTGCAGCCAGGGCCATACTGGTCTGCATGGCCTGCAATACCATGCTTGGCCATGTTGACATCTGGGCCTGAGCTGCTTCCATGGGACATGTCTGGATCCATATTCCTGCTGCAGCTGGGGTCAGTGTTGGTGTTCATGGCCCATGTTACCCAAGGAAGATATCGGAAGCCTGTGTGCTGAAACCTGAGGGCTGTGCTGAGCCAGCCAGACCCTTCACTGGCCCTGGGCTAGGTGACCCTGTCCCTTGCTCCACACTACAGCAAGAGAGCTGGCCCTGATCCTCATGGGAGAACTGAACCCCTGCACTCAGGAGAGATGGCTTCACCCCTCACCATGGGTGTAGGAGAGCTGGTCCTGATGTCATGGGCCCAGGAAACATGGCTCCACCTTCACCTGATAGGGGTTGGGCGTGATCCCAGGGGCCCAGACTGACCAGCTCAACTACCATCTAGACAGACCCACATCTTAGGCCTTGTCTTGGCCACCCTCACATTTACCCATTTACCTACTGGTGCATATGAGGGGACTGATGTATGCAGTGATACCCACAGGATCTGCACGACTCAGTGCAATAGCAGGTCATCCAAGAGGGATGTTGGTGAGGGTCCAGTGCCGATGATGTGCCAGAGGCCTTGAACCAGACAGTGACTCACTGCAATGAATACTTGCAGGCGGGAGTGATGGAACAAAATGGTACCCTGCATGGCACATTTCAGCTCCTGATGCTACTATAAGGAGTGAAGAGGTGTTGGAGAGACGGGGAAGACAGAGGAGCAGCGTGTTTTGTTGTCGATGTTGTTTTTTAATTATTTTTGGATTTCCTTTGGGGTGATACTGCAGGGGTGGGGGTCAGCTATGACCGGATTGGAAGG